CCCCCGCGCTCGCCTCCCGCAGCAGCAACCGCCGCAACCGCCGCCCCCCGCGCTCGCCTCCCGCAGCAGCAACCGCCGCAACCGCCGCCCCCCGCATTCGCCTCACGCAGCAGCAACCGCCGCAACCGCCGCCCGCCGCATTCGCCTCCCGCGGCAGCCACCCTCCCCCCGCCGCCCACGGCTCCCCGCCGCCGCCCGAGGGGGAGGAGGAGGGCGAGGCCGCTCACCCAGCGATCCGCCGCCGACGAGCACGGCGCCGGCCAGCGCGCCCGCGGAGGCGCCGTAGATGTGCCGCGCGTCGCGGATGATGTGCGGCGCGTGCTGCTGCAGGCAGGTGGCCGCGCCGATGTGGTAGACGCCCAGGAAGCCGCAGCCGGCGAACGAGACGCTCCAGCCGCGCTCGCGGTCCAGCATCTTCGCCGGTGGGGCGGGCCGGGCCGGGGGAGGAAGCTGCGGGAGGGCCGAGCGGAGCCGCCGCAGGTGGCACTCCGCGCGCTGCTGCCGCCCGTCCGAGCGCGGGAGGACGTCGCGAGAGCGGCGCGCTCCGTGCGGCCGCTTACATGCCGCTCACGCCCAGCCCCTCCGGAGGCTGCGAACTGACCAATCCCACGCCGCCGCTGGCCACGCCCCTCCCGCGCTTTGTGACGGCACAAAGCGCCTCGGCCAATCGAAGGAGGAGATGCAAATGTAGGGGAGCCGCGGGGCGGGCGCTCGTTAACGGCTCGGGGGGTTGCGCGAACGGCCAAGCGCGTCCTCCCGTCCTAACGGCAGCAACGGCTGTAGCGGGGCCGGGATGCTGGGAAAAGTGGGAACGGCGAGGGCGGAGTTAGCGTGATCCCGCTTACGCGGGGCTCAGGAGCACGTTGCACGCGGTTTATATAATCGCTCGTGACTCCCTGACCTGCTTTAGGAGCAAGCACCGTTTCAGCGGTAATCCTGTAATAAACTTCGTAAGAAGAGGGGTCGCCACACTAGGGTGCTTAGAAGAGGAAACGTATTCAGTAACAAACCTTCCGACTAGTGCAGCAGAATTGGGAGCCAGTAACTGACCAACTTTTGGAGGTCATGTAACAGCATCTTTAGGTCCCCGGGCACTTTCCAAATCTCTGTCTGTACAAATACACTGGAGAGGGGAGCACCCCAGGCAGGAATCCACAACAACCAGCTCGCCCAGCAGAGAGCCACCCAGAGCTGGACTCTGGGGACACGGTGGGACAGCACACCCGAAAGCCCATAGGGTTTAACTGCCATGACCACGGAAACCCTCCTCAGCTCCTTGCATCCGTTCTTATATCCCAGCAGTGGAATTCAGCAGCATTTCCATGTTGTTCGAGAGGAGCTCATATGAAGAAAATACAGCTGGGGGAGGTTGTGTTGTGCAATTTCTATTAGCACAGAGCACACTCCCAGGAAGAGGGAGCACGATTCAAGTTCTCCTTCAGGTGGAATGGGCTTGCACCCACTGAGCGATCCCTAGTTTTACCCAGGAAGATTTCAGACAATCTTGAGATGAAACACAAAGCATCATGAGAGACTCCAGGTTCCTCAACCCCTGCAAGCATAGGGCCATGTGTTAGATTTCCCCTTTGGCAACTTAGCTCTCTAGCCACCCTTCCTGCTGTGCCTTGGTTGCTGTGCCAAGCATTTATGTTCATTCCTAGTTTCACCGTTTCATCAGCAAAGTGTCCTAATCCCAATTCTGCCCAACATTTAGGCTTGCAAATTGTGGAAGTGGGAAGCGAAACCCTTTCTAGTTGACAGGGAAGGCGGAAGCTGAGAATAGAGATGAAGTCACATCCCACAATTGTGGATGAAACCTGTTTCATTAAAAAGATGAGTGTGGCAACTACCTTCTTTCCATTGCCTTCAAAGGAAGAGGCCAGTTCTGCCCATTCTGCCCATGTTGTGGCCTCTCACACTCTGCCCTTGGAGCACAAGTGGAGCCATTTCTTAACCTGGGCTCTTGGGAAAGCGGCATTGAGACACTCAGAGAGGGGCAGTTCTGAACATCTGTGGAAATTTCAGGGAGAGATAGTTAAATAGCAGCACATCGGGGGTGGTTTAAATCTGATAAACTGATTTACACAATTTTTATCCCTGAATCATCCCTGGAAAGCTGTTCCTGATTCTAAATAGAAAAAAAAAAAAAAAAAAAAAAGATCTTTTCATTTTTACTCTTAAATTTATATCTAGCCAGTTTATATCCATCTGCCCCTGTACTAACTTTGTCCTTTAACTTTACTAGCTCCTTGGTTCGGCGCCTGGGGAGCTGTCAGCCGTATTACCTCATCCCACAATACTCACCTAGTTGGGCTCTTCAGTTTCCTCCACCAGGGAAGATGTTACAAGCGCTCCCTGATCAGCACTGTAACCAGCCCTTCAAAAAAGGTCTCACCAGAGCCAAACACAACCTTTACTATCGTTACTGGGGAAGCTGAATCACTAATTCTGATGACTCAGGAGAAACAGGTTCTTCCACATTTCATCTGAGTTTTCTAAAAAGATATTATCATCTCCAGTGCACAACACCAGACCAGATCCCAGCACTGCACTTCCATTCCTGCTTGATTCCTGCTGCTTTCTCAGTTCTGCTTCGTGTCCCGCTAAGCTGCTTCGTAGCAGATCTGTTTCCTAGAGCACATCCCCCTCTGTCTTCCCTAGCTGAGCAAGTAAGCGTCTCAGGCAGAGCATCAGCTGAGGCCCCGACACAGGATGGATCCCATTTCCCCCGCCTGCGAATCAGCTGCCTCATCAAAAAGGTAGATTAGTTGGACACACTATACCTCTGGCTAATTACCATCTATCTCGGCTTTCTTTTCTCTCCAGGCCTATGGAGAGAATTACCCTTCCCCTCAAATTTGTTCTAATCCCTTCCTTTTATTTAGTTCACGTTTTTATGTTTATGTGCTTAATTCCAACTGAAGATTCATCTGCATGGTAAATAGCTGTTTAGAGCAAAGATCACTGAGCTAGCTCTAAAAAAAGAGCCACCGGAGTTAGCTGATACAATCTCACCATAGCAGCCCCCCTGCAGTTATACAATACACAACTACAAGATCATCTCACGGATCACTACCTATGTAGTGCTGCAACCTGCATTGCAGAATCATTTCTCAGAATGTACAGGGAAACGAAATGCTGACCTCCAAGGCCAGCTAATGGAAATGAAGCATAGTTTGACTGTGGTAAAACCTATTAGGAAATCTAAGTGCTTCTTAAAATGGCCTGTAAACAGATGTTCTGTCTCTTACAATGGTCTGTAAACCCAACCCACTGTCTGGAACATATAGGTGTGCCAACTGCCCATCATTTAGCCACTAAAAGCTTCTCCCTTAATCCTTCCATTTAGCTTCCCTGTTAGTTAGGGTATGTGTTATTTTCCTAAGATAGCAATTAAATCAAAACTGTTATTATGAAAGAACAAGGAAACTGTCAAGGCAAACCCTTAGAAGAAAGGTATGTTTTAAGCAGTAAGGTTAATGAAGGTATATAATTGATAGGAAAAGGAACCACATACAATAGATTAAAAATAGGAGCAATACTGAAGAAGCAACAAATGATTAAGTCCGAGATCTTGGCCAACTCTGAAGATACAATGAGACCAGCTCTCCAGAGAGGGAAGGATGTGGGCTCAAAGAAGCATGTGGTAAGGCCTGCTCGGAAACAGCAAACATTTTCTGCACGTTGACTCTGAGGAACTCACTAATAATTATTGACCTTTCACATAGCACTTTTTACCCAAGCATTTTCCAAGGACACAGCATATTGTGATGCCCTTTTTCATGTGAAGGTGAAAGTGATCCAGTAGTAAAGTCTGCCTGGTATCACCCAGCAAGAGTATTTTCAAAGTTGGGAAGAGAAACCTAACTTCATGAGTCCTAGATCATATCAATAGCTTAGCACTTCTCCAAAAGGCAAATTACTCTAGGACTCCTGGAGTACACAAAATTACCTCGACTTGCAAGTATGAGAGAGGCAAGGGTGATTGAGTTGTTTTTCTTCAACTGCTGATCTACCCACAAATTAAAAAATAAATAAATAAAACTGAAAGTCATCCCAGGTTTGTTCCTAGGAACACCATATTGTGAAAACTTTTTGAAGAAACACGAAGTTGACACAATTTAGGTACCTTTAGTGAACAACCCAACTCTGTCTCATGTCTCATTTTCCTGTTCCTAAAAGGATCCAGATAACAAAAGCAAGGTATGGGTTGCATGCTTGTTGAATTGTCTTATGTGACACATTGTAGGTTCACCCCTCATTTCTATATATGGACAGCCAATTACTGGAATAAGTGGAGAAAACATATAGTGTCTTAGTTATCCAGAGGCCTCCATGTATGTACCTCTAAAGATGCCATTTTTAACTATAACCAGAAAGAGAAATGAATATTGTGTCTTTCATAGTTATCCTGTGCTACTTCAGCACACACTAGAGGAAGTCTTACTAGAGTCATCACCAAAAGACCAAAGTCCTGACTATTCAACATGCACAAGGAATCACAGGGCAGGGAAGCAGAAGTACTGGGTTACAGAGAGAGGTAGGTGCAAGTCATGAGCTGGACAAGGAGCTCCTTCCACTGCTCACAGCAGTGCTCTGCATGCACATTGCGCTGTCCTCTCTTCACCTACATCTGCCAGGAGGCTTCCAAGGAGCACAGGCAGAGAAGGAATATCTAAACTGGAATATCTAAAGGAATATCTAAATCCTGGCCAAAATGAGTTCTTGGAATTTCTCCGTCAGATTGCCAGGTGCTGTGAGCTCCAGTTCAAATGGCCTCACTACACTCTATAGTGACCTTTGCAGTGAAGCTGTAAGTGGCTCAAAGGTTGTTCTTATTCCATTCCTGCCTTGCAGTGGCATTACCCAGTGACACAGACAGTCTATGTGAGAATGTTTTTCCTCATCACATGTCATACTATGACCCATTAAACTTGCAGTGGTCTCAAGTTAACTTCTCTCAGGTTTCATTGGCAGGAGATGCAAAGTAGGTCATTTCTAATGAAAGATGGTGACCTGCTTTGCCCTTAGGCCTGATCCTGTCAGCCTTTGAGGAAGATATGTTTAGGTCAGTATTTTGGTGCTTACATTCCTGAGAGCTTATGCTAAGGGTTAAAGAAACAGTAGAAGTACAAGAGGATGATCTCAAAAATGGTTTCTATAGAGCTAATACGGTAAAGGCCGATAGTTTCCAAGTCATTTTTGTGCAGTTTCTAGACTTCACAGCATAAACATAACAATTGCTTTGAACTAAATTAAGAGAACTGTTCTCCCTTTAGTTTTAGTTGTGACTGTGGGCGCATTTTGGCAAAAGGAAATCAATTATAATGATTTGGATAAGTTTGGAGCAATACAAAACATAAAAGCACACAGGTAATGCAGTCTTTGCATTTTTTTTTCTGGGCATCTGCCAT